AGAATGCAATGTTTGTCCGAATCTTTAAGCTATGTAAATGAATTTCAAATTAAACGATGGATAACATTGTAAAAAGAACATTTCAGTTTTTTCTAACACAAAATGTTTTTTGATGTAGACGGCAAGGATGATCATATGTTGATGTTGATGTTGATGCTGTCGATAATGCTGTTATAAACGATGAAAATGATTTATTTATACTTTTATATATATTTTGCTTTCTTTTTTGAAACTTGGTGGTTTATTTTTGAAATATAGTTTTTGTAGCTACTGGCTTGTTTTTAATGCGCCATGCCTAGGCATAACAGCTTCAGCTTCAACAGAGGAAGTTATAATAATCAACCTTTTCAATATTTCAAGTAAGACTCAAGTACCATACCAAACTATCTCGCCATCTCATTACGATTTTACACTGTTGGAAGTTCCCGGAACAGATGCCATGTAGCCCCAACTTTCACAACAAGTTAATTTAAAATAGCAATTTAGCGTCTAACTTTCTTTCTTTAGTATAAACCAATAATCCTAGTAATTGACCGTTTTCTCAAGGTTGCGTGAGCATCCAAATTTGAGGAACTTGACGGGCCACGATACCAGAATACCAGTATTATCATGCATTGCGATGCAATTTTTTTCGATAAGAATTCATAAAATCGATTATTTTCCTCTTTAAATATAAAACTGTCTTCTCAATTTTACTGAATTTGCGTTTTTCAGTTTTGTGGCCCGTCAAGTTGGATGCGCAGGCAACCTCGAGAAAACGGTCTATTGTCCATTACACATCCTGCATTCTGATTGGCTGAGCTACTAGTGATCAAATAGAGGTATACCACTAGTTAACAATTAGACTACGAGGTCGAGTTTTCTATGAGTCAATAGATAGTCGATGAGTTGCAAAGCGGCGAATCGACTATTTGACTCATAGAAAACGAGAACGAGTAGTTTTGATAACAAAAGATGACACTGAAAACTTTACTGAACAAAACGATGGTCAACCAGCGGTTTTCATTTATTTTTGCGATCTCGACTCGAGTTTTACGGCGTATGAGCTTGAACTTGCTCTATTTCTTTTTGATTCTATTATTACGGTCAAATCTCTCTTTCCAATATTTTTCATATAAAAATAAGTACGCTCA